GAAGGAAGGAAGGAAGGAAGGAAGGAAGGAAGGAAGGAAGGAAGGAAAGAAGGGAGGGAGGGAGGGAGGGAGGAAGGAAGGAAGGAAGGAAGGAAGGAAAGAAGGAAGGGAGGAGGAGAGAAAGAAAGAAAGAGAGAGAGAGAGAGAAAGCAAGCAGGCAAGCAAGCAGGCAGGAAGGAAGGAAGAAAGTGAACAGACAAGTGTTGGCAAAGATGTGGAGAAATTGGATTGTACACTGCTGGTAGGAATACAAAATAGTACAGTTGCTGTGGAAAACAATATGGATATGCCTCAAAATATTAAAAATAGAACTACCTTATGATCCAGCAATTACACTGCTGGGTATTTACCCAAAATACTTGATATCAGGATTTCAAAGAAATATTAGTGCTTCCATATTCACTGCAGCACCGATATTCACAATAGCCAAGATGGAAAAACAACCTAAGTGTCTGCGGATGGATGAATGGATAAAGAATATGCAGTATATACATACAAAGGAATACTTTGCAGCCTTTAAAAAAGGAAATTCTGCAATATGTGACATGAATGAACCCTGAAGACATTATTATAACTGAAATAAGCCAGTCTTAAATACCACATGATTGCATTTATATAAAGTATCTAGAATAGGCATAGCATAGAATCAAAGAGTGGAAATCGTGGTTTCCAGGGGTTGGGGGGCAGGAGAGGGAGGAGAAAATAGGAAGTTACCAATCACTGGGTGTAAAATTTCAGTTGTGCAAGATTAATAAATTCTGGAGATAAGCTGTACAAGATTGTACCTACGGTTAACAATGCGGTATTATGCACTTAAAAATTTGTTAAGAGGGTGGATCTCATGTTAAGTGTTCTTAATACAATAAAATAAAATTTTAAATAAATAAATATAATAGATGAAAACCTTTTCTTACTTCAATGCCTAGCTAAATAAAGATTATCTATTGTTATTTCCTCCTTGCGAGTCTCCACTCCCACTCCCCTGCCACCTAAAATGTGTGCAAAAACACAAACCAAACAACAAAATCCTGAAAAGTTATTTTACATTTAAAAAATACAATTAAAATGCCACAATAAAGAAAATCCTCCAAAACGAAAGTGTCAGCATTTTTGGCACTTAAGAACCTTGATCTCTTTAATGGCAAAGTACTGGTAGCTGAAAGGGGCTATTTGTAAGTGACATTTCAGAGACGATGGATTATAGGAAGTCTGGGGACTTGACCCAAAGGACATACTCCCCTTCCTTACTATCCACTTTGCACACACACCGTCTTCTAACATAGCTCTAAGGAGCCCTACAGAAAATGAGAAGAGGTGATGAAAGCACAATGACTAGGGATGGGTGGGGGGGGCTAGGGGGTGGAGATCGAGATGGAGAAATAACAAAGAAAGATGCTAAGAAATATTATAAAATAGAAAAGGTCACCACTATCAATGTTGCCTTTCCATGCCCATCTTATTCCTACTTCCCATTTCCTTTCCTTCTCTGTTCTTTCATTTTACCCAACTTCCACCTGCTGTGTCTTTTACCTTTCTGCCTTTTTCCTGATTAGGTGGAATTTCAGGTAGCAAGACAGGTCTGGAAAGGAGGAATTTAGTCTTAGGCAGGTTTGCCAAATAAAATACAGGACACCTGGTAACATCTGAATTTCAAAAAAGCAATAATTTTAATAATAAGTATGTTACGTGCAATATTTAGACATACCATACTTAAACAAATCATTTGCTGTTTATTGAAATTAAATTTAACTGGACATCTTATATTTTTATTTGCTAAATCTGGCAATCCTTGTCTTAGAGCTTTCTGCTACTCAAATTTTAACATGCATACAAATCATGTGAGATTTTGTTAAAATGCAAATTCTGATCCAGTAGGTCTGGGGTGGGGCCGAGAGCTTCTCTGTTTCTCACAGGCTTCCACATGATGCTGATGCTGCTTGCCTGCCAAATGTCCTGTGAGTAGCAAGGACTTAGAATAGCATTGTTCAACAGAAATAGACTGAGAGCTACATATGTAATTTAAAATTTTCTAGTAGCCACACTGAAAGAAGTACAAGTCAACAGGTGAAAATAGTTTTAATATTTTTTCTTTAACCTAACATTTAAATATTATTTCAAACATAATTATTAATGAGATATTTTACCTTCTTTTTCTGCTCTAAGTCTGAAATCTGGTATATAATTTACATTTACGTACATCTCAATTCGAACTAACCAAAATCTCAAGTGGTCAGTAACCACCCGTGGCTAGGGGCCATTGTACTGGACAGTACAAATATAAAATATTTCCTCCAGCTGCCAGAGCAATACCTCATAGTCTCTTGGCAGCAGCAGCAGTGTCTGACCCATTGCTCCTCAAATTTCTGGTCAGGGGAAGGTAAGAAACCAAGCCCACGAAGATAGGCACTGTAATAATAATGATTCTGTTAACACTCAAACCAGACTGTAAGCTCCTTAGTGCTTATCATGTAACAATCCTTCCATGGAAATATGCTTCAGTTATATTTTCATACACACAAACATATACAAAATTTTAAATTTTAAATCACTTTCATTTTCATTTTAATATATTTATGTGTAATATATTTCATTTTAATATATTTTATGACTTGATCATCCTAAAATTTCAACATAGCAATCTTTCTGTTGTTGACATTTTCTTCCACTTGGTTAAGGAATATCTAAGGTAGGGGCACCTGGGTGGCTCAGATAGTTAAGCATCTGCCTTCGGCTCAGGTCATGATCCCAGGGTCCTGAGATCGAGTCCTGCATCGGGCTCCCTGCTCAGCGGGGAGTCTGCTTCTCCCTCTGCCTGCCGCTCCCCCTGTTTGTGCTCTCTCTCTAATAAAT